AAAAGGTTTTGCAAGAGACTTTAAAGTATAAGCAACAATTTGTACAAAATTGTAGAACAACTAGAACGAACTCACCAAATCCCTTTATTAGGGTTTCAAGAAATAAGATGAACAAACGAATCAGGTGTCAAAACTTTAACGTCTGCACATATCGAAGCCAAGAACCAATGTGTAGAAGCTCTGATACCACTGTAACGAGTAAGTTCAAAATTATCAGCCACTTTAACTTACAAAAATACCACTTTAACCAACAAAAATAGAAATAATAACACACAAAATACTGAAAATAACAAGTAAAGAACACGAGGTTTTCTCCCTAAGGCAAGAGGTTCAGAATTGGAGTTCCTAATCCCATTTTGAGCTTCCAACAACCGGAAGAAATCACTATATTAACCAGAACTAAGAACCATTCAGAATACACCACAGGCACTCAGACACAAATCACCTAAGATTACATCAAGATCGAAAGCCGTCACTGATCAAAACAAAGATCCACTCAAGAATAGCAACTATAACCCTTTGTAAATCACTCAAGACCTATACAATAGGCTACAAATATAGTAGATCATATATGCTTTCAATTTTCAGAGTGCAAGGAACGGAGAAGACAAAGAGAGCACAGAGAGTTTGAGAGAATGAATTCCAATCAATAAACTCAAACCCTAGATGTGTATAAAAGAAGCCACCAGAAGGTCTCCATCTGACGGTCCGTGGGGTGACACTTGGCGAAATCTCAAGCAGTCCAAGCAGTTAGTGAAAAAACGTGTTTTAATTAAACACGCTTAAATCCGAATGAAACAGAAGCCACCAAATAATTAAGCAATAATCCAGTCCAACAGCCCAATCATCAATTAACAGATTCAGCCCAATTAGCAGCAACAGCAACAACTCAATCATCATTGTGCCACAATTTCTCCATAGTAAAGCTTCTTACAAAATAAATTAAAGTATAATTCTCAATTATAAAAATCTCAAATTTGAAAATCTCGGTTGGGCTGGCTTCCCCTACTAACTACCAAATGTGCTACAAGGGAAGTTGATAGTAGTTGCAATCATGGCCCTTATGCTTTTATTTTATTTTATTTTAAGACCCAAAACAAAAGACTTAATCCAACTTTGACTCTTAGTAATGTTCACGTAGAACAAACTATATAATGTTAATGATTAATGTTAACAACCAATTTGGTAGTCTTTCACGACTTCTCCTATTGGTATTAAATTCACTACTTTCACTATTCTTCAGATTCTACACAACTCTACAGAGATGTATACTCTGAAGAGAAAATAGTCGTTCATCGTTTGAAATATTTATTGCTTACATAATACATACATAGGTATCTAGAACCAAAAATGAAATGCTTGGTGTCATTTTAACAAAAGTTTCAAAGAACTCTAACAATCATTCAATTCAAGAATTTAAGTTGGACTACGACGCACATTTCAAGGGCAAATTATACCATGTCTGAGACGGCGAGACATAAATTCATTTACGACAAATACAAGATATCGGGAACTTACAACAAGCAATCTGTTTCGATATAAACCAAAACGCCAATAAAATCTTGTCACATACTTACTAATTTAAGTATTGAAATCTTATCGCCAATCATTTGATTTTTTACCTAACTTTTTATACTAACAATAATTGCAACATGTGCCAAAAAGGAAAAAACTATGTGCTGAGTCCTAACCATCATGATCTTGTACTTGAACTAGAATATGATAAAGGTGCACATTAATATGTCAAGATCATTGATTTTATTTGAGAGCAGAGAATTTTATTTGTAGGTAAACTTGATTTCGATTCGATTGCAACGAATTAAGATCTAGTAATGACTGTTTGATAAGCATTTTTTCTCAATGAAAAACATTTTTTTTTTGTCACATGACTATATTTTCTTAAAATCAAGGAAAATATTTTTTTTTATGAAGAGCAGTGTTTTATTTTCCAGGGAATTTACTCTTTCTTTTAGCTATTCCCTCTCCATGATCTACTCACCAACAAAAAATAGACAAATATAATATTTTTTTAGTTTGAAAACTAAATCAATCAAACATATTTAATTAATGTTTTTCAAGTAAATAAGTTCTAGGCAATTGAATTGCCTAGAATTTATTTTCTTTTTATGTAAATTTCATTTTCGCAATCAAACGTACATTTAAGCCCTGTTTGATTGCTCTTTCTTTTCCATGGAAGATGGAAATTAAAATTCATTACCATATTTTTGCATGTTTGACTGACTAAATTTTCCATGGAATTGATTTTACATATTTTCTTGGTTTTTGAGGAAAAGCTTTTCTAAACAATTTTTTTTTAAACAAATTCATCCCCAATTGTAACAAATTATATGCTTTTAATGGACAAAATTCATGTAAAACAAAGTCAAATGAACACTAAAAGATCCAAAATTTCAATATTTTTCAAGTGAAAAATTATATCAATAAAATACAATTAATACAATTCCCAATAAAACAAGTTCTAAGCAATTCAATTCCCTAAAATTCATTTTCTTTCTATCAAAATTCCATTCTTCCAATCAAACGGATCCTTATTTATTTATTAAATGTGTAACACAAAAAACTTTTCCAACGGAGGTGATATTTCAAAACATTACTTTGGTGTACAATGTTAAACCACCTACATAAACACACTTAAATCGTTAGAAGACTAAGAGATATATTTATTTATTTCTATTTTTTCCTTTAACAATTATTTTTGATAAATGAAATGCTCATCCCCGTGTTCGACATCTTTTTAGTAATAATAAACACTCATTTTATTTTTACAAGTCTTACATTTGTAGGGATGTCAACATGAGTGAGATGGTCCACACTAGTCCACCAACATGTAAATTTAATTTGAACTCGTTGTAAATTTCAATTATCGGGACTGGAGATGAGGAGTGTCGCCCTGTTGTCATCCTAAAGTGCATATTTTGAGGTGGTTGAAAATGGATTTGTCAAACGGGAACTAAAAGTTGCATAGCTATCGACTATTGGAATAATTTTCTTTTGTCAATCAAGTCAAGCCAAAGAGACTCTTGAAAACGAGAGTCCATCTTCGCATGCACGTTAATCTTGATAAATCTAAAATATGAATTAATCTAGGCTTGCGGCTAAGAATGCAAATTATTTGGTGAATTTCCGGGATTTTCATCAGCAGTATCACTACTTTTCTTGAAAGTCTATTTCTGTGATGTCCCAACTTGTTCAAAACCATCATTATCGTAATCCAAATCCCTTTATATTGAGCCATGGAATTCTCATATCTGTCTTTCGCCC